TCCCTATCCCCTTCATCCTCCTATTTCCTTTCTTGCCCCACCCAGATGGCTGGGGCTGCACCTGACAAAGGCAGCAACCCCGCTGATCCGTCTTTCAACTGAGCTATTAGCATCAAAGAACAAATGCAAACAGCACCGGCTTGCAGCTCAGCCATCTACAAAGGCACAATAAATGGGCCCTTGTGTATAGGATCAAGCAAACCCTGCCCGGCCTTTTGTTGACAGACAAACCTTCTTTTGTTTGAAGTGCTCTGAACCAGAGGAAGTGGATAAACCTCCAGCCACATGGGACAGAGTCCTGTGGTCACTGGGCTTTTCTGTTGCTGTGGGCTCTGTCTTTTCTATTTTGAATGGGACAGGGCTTTGCCTCCTTGCTGTCAGTGGTAGGAGACACAGGTGAGGGGAAGACAAGCTTGTGTTGCAGAAGGAGGGAGGAAGTGGAAGTACTGTTCTTTTAAAACCAAACCAGATAAAAAGGTCTTTAAGACAGAGCCTGTCACCCATTAGATATCAAAATGGACTTAGGTCCTTAAGTGTGGGTCTTATTCCACATGGCTTCAGTCCCAGAAAAACTGTTAATATGACTAAGTTTGTAATATGCCATCATCTTTGCTTTAAGACTAAGTCATGAAAATCAGTAGTGGAGAGGCCCATTTGCCTTTTGTGTTAATATGTTTTCAGGGACTCAAGCAGAATGGAGTAGGACCACACTGTCAGGGTGAAGTTACATGTTACATTTATTAAACCTGTGGAACATTAAGCACTGTTTAAGTTGGCACATGCTGTTAGTCACACGTTAATATTATTTCTTGCCTGCACAACTCTGACTTGCCACTAGAGGGCTAGCGAGCAGGGGCATTGCTAGGGGCTGGGATACCTGGGCTCTAGTACTGCTGGGAGGAGAGCAGGGCTGGGAGCAATGCATCATAAGATGCTGGAGAATTACAAATTGCTCATTTTATCTCTATAAAGCAAATTTAACTTGAAGAGTTAGGTAGTGCAAGTCCAGAGTTAACTCTTGCCTGAAGTGGCAGAACCTTGAGATACTCAGAGGGCATTTAGCACAAATTAATGAGCTTAACTGTGCAGACTGCTGTGTTTTAAGTGCTTAGTGTGGTCTGAGTGTAAGGTGTAAATTCCCCCATACATACCGAGTACCACTTAGAGGCCAAAAGGTAAAATAGGATCTGGCCCTTGGCCTCTAGGTTCTGAGCACAATGACAGAATGTCTCAAAGTGAGGACACAAGATAATGCAAAACAATTCTAAAAATGTCATCCTCACCTTCATCCCTTCTTCCTGACATTGAAGGGCCTCTTCCAAGTGCCCACATGCAGTATGAGGCAGTCCTTGGGTGCTGAGCTTAATATATTGGTTTATTACTAGTGAGTCCCCTTGTTGAAGATTGTCTACTCTGCAGATATGAGCTGTACAGCAGCAATTATAATGTCTAATTATATACCACAACTGAGCTGCACATTCATTGGTGTGGTATCACAGGGTGTCTTGTGAGGGCTTGCAGGCTGCGTGTGAACATCTTTCATTTTTAGATAGAAAGTAACTCTCTTACACATTTTAAAACTAAATAAAATAACTTATGTAAAATAAAATCTAAGCAGTTTCACTGATTAAAAACTAGCATTTGCCAACAAATACCACATGGGGGGGTGTCTGCAACACTCTCCCTTTGCAGTTAGAATAGGAAATTCCTGTAGTGACTGTGGGGTGCTACCAAAATCACTACTACAGAGGTCTTGCTGTGGAGTAAATGTTTGACTTTTTAATGCATCTTCTCTGTGTGGAATGATAAGGGCTTTCTAAAATGCTGGCCAGGAATGAGGGTTCAGGGAGGAAATAGGTTAGGTAAGAGGACAAGAGGACAAGAGGGCAAGCAGCACTGGTAAAGCAATGTGTAACTTGTGATTCATAAACCAAGGTCCCCTTGCTGACTGCTCCTTCTGATCACATTTGTACCTGATGTATTTGGAGACCACACTCTGGTGATGCTCTGTACAGCCATTGCCACCTCGTTGCTCCCTGTGTTCACAGCTTCATGACCTGTTTAATTAATACGCAGTTAAATAAGTGCTGTTCCAAAAAGTGGCAATCAGCCCAGTGCCCCTTCTCTTTTTACTTCATATGTTTTATTCTTGTTCTCCTTTCCAATCCCATACTCCACTTAGGCCCATACACAGAATCCGGTAATATCAGATCGGAGATCCCAACCAAAATGGAGCTCATAGATGTCATTCTCAGGACAGTGCAATGCTGGCTATAACAAAGTCTGCTGCCATGTCAGCCAGTCTTTGTGACTGTTCATGTATTTGAACAGTTGGTTTGGGATGAAGTTCATGAGAGGAAGAGAACTTGGAACTGGATTTGTGTGCCTGCCTCATGATGCAGCTCCTGAATCATCAGCAGTAACTGTGATACCTTACGCTGCTCTAACCTCTCACTCCTGAAAGCTACAGTTATCTTCCTAGATTACCACTGATTCCCTCTCATAATCTCCCAGCTCAGACCACCCCAGTGTCTTTCACTGTTCTCCTGCAGTACACTCTCCCTGCACTCATATCAAGGTTCTCTCTGCACTTATGTCCTTGTCTTTGATCTCTCTCCCTGCCACACTCTATGCTCTGTTCTGTACAAATGACTTTTCCTACTTCTCCCTAGTGACCTTTCAGGACCAAACGTCTCCTCTTGCTTCTCTGTCAACAGCTTAAACTAACTCACCATTCTATGTTAAAAAGGACATGTCAAAATACTGGGTCCAGCTTGGGTACTGATAGGTTGTTAGGATGTGTAACCTAAGCAATGTAAATGGTTTGATCTGGGTCTGCATTCCTTCCCTTCTTTGTGTTGCCTTTTTTGGATTATTGGCTCTTCAGGCTAGAACAGTTTGATGAGTCTCTCATGTGTCATGTATGGTGATTCTCAAAGGATCCCAAAGACAGTTTGAAATTGCTAAATGAAGAACAATGTGTCCTGGGGTCATGTACTGCCTACTGATGAAATTCAGGTACCTTATGGATGGCACGTGGCGGTCACAACATTTTGCAACATCCCAACAGTTTAGGAGAGAGGTTGGGGAATAGAGAAGCTGACAGAAAGTGGAGGGTTTGCATTATGCCAAGGCACCCAGCATAGCACACTCCCAGTCCTGTGGGAGAAATGCCTTGGAAGCTTGAACCACCACAGGTGGTTAACATCATATCTGAAAAATGGTAATCCTAGCACCACAGCTTCTTTATCACCACACAGGGGCCTGGGCTTAGGGTATAAATAGACATCACTTTTTGTGCTACCATAACAACTTTTATGATGTCACAAAGAGAAAGCAAACAGGTGTTCGTGCCATTTGTCACACCACAAATGCCAAAATTTGTGGCCCAGAAAAAAGGTGGTAATAGTTTTTGCCTCTTTATTGCAGCAGACATTTGTTAGCTTTATGGCGCAAGAGCGCAGGCAGCCTGGAGCTCCCCATGTTCTCCAGCTGCCCCTGGCAGGCACTACTGGGGCTTGAGGGGCCTGATTCTGTGCACCTCAGGAATTTCTGTACAGGATTGGGCTCCTCAGGTCCCGGAAGTGACTGTCCAGCTTTCATCTCTTACAGAGATGTGCTCTAGGGAATCTCCAGGGTGCATCTCTGTAAGCAGGGAAAGCTGAAGTTTCCTTCTTGCTGAGATGTGTCCTTAGGAATCTTCAGCACAAATCTGTGAGTGGGGAATCCTGGCCTTCCCTGCTTACAGAGGTGCGGCCTGAAGATTCCCCAAGGTACATCTCTGCAAGCAGGGAATGTATTGTCCTTTGTTTGGCAGGATCAGGCCCCTGCCTGATGCAGGACAACTGGCAATGTGCGTCACCCACTGAAATGAATCAGTTGTCCTGGGGCACATCCTGGAACAGCTGATCTGCTTCAATTAGTGACATCTATTTGTACCCCTAGGTACAGGCTTGCAGGGAAGGCTGCCACATGTTGATCATCAGCACTACTTTCTGAAGCACTCTGAATTTCCTTGGAAGATTCTACTCCCATCCAAATAGAGGAGTTTTAAGAGGCTCACCTTAATAGTTTTATGACAACAGTAATTGTGTAGAATGGGACTAAACTAGAGATAGTAAAAAAAAAAAAGGGGGGGGGAAATAAGTTGGAATATCTTTGTTGTTGTGTTCACTGGACTTTATGGGCTCTGTACCAAAGTGGACATTGTGGCTCCTGTGGTGTACCTGCGCTGTGATTGATACAACCATTTACAGTTCCCTGTTCCTCTCCTTTTTATTGGACTAATTTGTGGTATTAATGTGATTGATGGGCAGAGTGGTCTTGTGCCATAAGGAGGGACAAATATTGAATGGCATTTGGTCTGAATCCAGCATCTTGGGAAGAGCCAATTTGCTCACACACTGTGCTGTCTGCAATGAAGGATGGTCCCTTGGAACAATGGGCAGGTGGAATGAAAAGGGACAGGCTTTCTCCTAGACCTTTGGGACTGTTCAGAGCCCTGCAACTGGTCATAAATTCAAGTGACTTCTCTTCAAGAGGAGCAGGTTCCTTTCCATTTTCTGAAAATTTGCTTGAATTTATGTGAAGTACAAAGCCTGCTGCAGACTCATGGGGTTGGTTGGTTTGTTCGTTTGCATTTGTGCTTGAAGAGACACAGAATATTCTAACTAATATTCTTGCAGGAACAAGTGTGGCTTCATTCTATCTGATTCCAGAAGCTCTCTCTCCGGACAGATATGACAGTGGATTTCATTTTTACATGCACAGTGGAGGGGGAGCCAAACCCTTTTCCCTTGCATGGGTGGGCACTTGGCTGTGGATGGATGGCCTTCAAACAAACCTAGTTACTTCTGGTTTTGCATGAAATTGATTTCCATGCAAGGATGCTGAGTTGCTGTGTGGTGTTTCTAATGCTTTTCTCTCTTTTCTCTTTTCTTTTTCTCCCTCTTTTTTTCCCCCTTCCCTCCCTTCTGCTTCCCATGAAAACACCTCGACAGATGTCAATCATATTCCAGGTGAGTGTCATATTTGTTGAGCTAAAAGATGGGTGTTTGGGGGGGTGGGGGTGCAGCAAGAGTGGGTGGAAATCTGTGACTGTGCAGAGGGAATATTCATAATGAGAACTGGAGGACTGAATTGCAAGGCCTTTAAATCAAGGCACCCTCCATAGCTATTCCATTGCAAGATCCACTTTGGAGGACAAAACTGTGTTGATCAGTTAAAGGGACACTGTCAAGATTAAAAAAAAAGTCACATTTCTTTAAAAATATATTGTTGTCCAATAAGAGACTGCTTATTGTATTATTGCCATTTTGTACAGTTTGTTGATTGATTGATTGATGATTTTTACCTTCATGCAGTTTGGGATTCTGAAATTAGACCAGTCAGTTTCAATTGTCAGTGGGAGTCTGCTCCATGTGTTAGTCCCAGAGCCAAAAGCTGTTATGTGAAGATTTCCATTAACATGCACATAGGCTGTTTTTCTTTTTTTCTAAACGAAAACATGGTGGGAACAGTTCTCGTCAGACTGTGGGTTGTAAGCTCCTTTAAAAAAATAAGTAGAAACTTCACTTGGCAGTCCCTTTGTTTATAATGTGTGAATGAATCAGCTGAGAGAAAAAATGCAGTGTTTAGGGGCTGGGATTTATTTTTTGGTGGGGTTGCCCCATGGAAATGTTCAGCTACAGAGAACTCCAATTCTCATTTATTTCCCAGCTCACTTGTCTCATCCCTGATGGGGGTATGAATCCCTTGTCTATTGCTGCCAAAGGGTGTTGATCCAAAGCCTGAAGTGCCTTGCTCCATAGTCCCATTCTGCTGCTACTACAGGCAAGAGCCCTGATTTTGACCTCACACCCAAATGCTCCATTGGTTTACTGGCATATGTTTGTGTCAGCAAACTCAAAGTGAGAGTCCAGTCCTAGTCTGGCCATTGCCTTGAATGGAGCCAGTACCTTGGATGGCTGCTAAGGGAGTCCGTTCTTTCCATCTAAGCTGTACACAAATCTCCCTTTAACTCATGGTGCCAGGACTGGACCTGAACATTCTTCCACATACTCTTTTGTTCTTTTTCAACCATTGAATAATTAGAGTTTGCAGTCACTTTTTCAAGCCAGTTAGTGGCTTGGATAAATTCCCCTGTCTTTTAGCCTTTGTAAACCATTCATTAGTACCTTATAAACCACTCTCACTGGTACCCTATTTACTGACAAAAAGCACCCGGTATTTTGCATGTCTGTACAAAAAAGGTGTCTTCACACACGGCAAGTGCATATTAGAAGCTTGAAACGAGCCTCATGGCAAATATAGCCCCTGGCATGCCACAGAATGCATCCACCGATGTTAACAGCCAGTTTCCTCAGCAACCAGGAAAAACAGGAGCTAAGGCTTTATCTGCCCTAGGAAGTCAGGTGTGTTGGGACTTGCATGGAAGGAGTCTGGGGTTATAGCCCTCTCCACTGTGTACTGAAGCCATCTGTGCCCATGGCTGTGAAGGAAGATTGAAACTTGGTGACACTGGCTCACTGCAGATTGGCCTTTTCACATACTGGTGATAACATTCTGCACTGTGAATGACTGCTGCCTTGCAAAGCAACAGTTTCTGCTCTGGCTTGAGTAGACTACAGAGTACAGCCAGATAGGATAGGTCCAGACAATGGTAACATGGCAACAGGATCAGAGCCACACTGTTACTGCTGTGTGTGGCTTGGAGAACGGAGGAAGTATTCACACCCACAGGGCAAAGTGCTGTTTCCTGTGTAGGTTCTCCATGTACTCTTTGATTGGGCTCCCCTGTCCTGTAGTCCTCTCTCATTTGTGGATGCTCTCACAATGGGCTCATGCAAGAAGGCATGCATACTCTCCTTCCCCCTGCTCTCATGATCTTATTCCCAGAATTTTACACACTCTCGCATACATTCTTCTCATCACTCTTTCTAGAAGGCTTGCACATTTGTATTCTCATTCAGATATGTGCCTGGCCCCTATATTTTGAACTCTGATACATATCTACTCCCAGATGGGATAACGTGCTTAGAGCTTCTCGAATGAATATTGTAATCTTTGTGGATGTTGTTATTGTTCATGTCATCATGACCCAATAAGAGTCATGGATTGATATACATCCAAGAGTGGATTGATATACATGACTATCTTGAAAAAATGAAGCCTCACACTGCACTAACATTGCTGCTCAGAACTGGGTAGCCTTCAAACAGAACAGGTTTCCTTGCACACAATAAGGGAAGATGCAGATCTTTGGTTTCTGTGTGTCTGGCCATGCCTGGAGCTTTCTTACTGGATGATCCAGCCAATCAGGATTCAGAGATTGGAGCCCAGGGCCCCTGCCAAGCAGCCATTTTAACCGTTCACTGTTTGCAAGACAAATTGGGGATTTTATGAGCTAATGTAACTATTTACCCACAGGCAGCAGAAGGGCTGTAAAGGGCCCATTGATTAATTGATTAATTTGACTTGTTGAATACACTGGCTAGAACTAATTCCCCAGTAAAACAAGATCTTTCTGAATGGCTTCTTGCTGGCTGCAATAAAGTACATGATTCCCGGATTTCTCTTTAGCAGAGGCCCTACCAGGTGCAGGGAAATCTTACTTAAAGAAAACAGTGACATTGCTTTAAAAATGAAACGTGTTTTCATAAGGTCTCCTGGCTGTGAAGAGGGCATCCTTTTGGAACAATGGCTAGCAGCAGGCATACCACTGTCTTCCTGAGAACCAGCTTCCCATCCTGCTTGACACACTGCACAAGGGAAATGAGTTTGTCAGGTCTTAGCTTGGTTCATAAGTAGATATTTCATTCAGTTCACCAAAAAAAAAGGGTCAGATGCTGGCTTACCTTCACAATGCACTTAGAGATCCTTGGATGAATAGTATGATTGTCATGGATGGTGTTATTAGGTTTTGATGGTGTGAACACTAATGGTGACTTGACAGGGCATAGCCAACTGTCTTGCAAGAATAGGGACCCTATCTTTTTGTTAGTCTCCTCTGCATGATAGTCATTGCATCCCCTGTACTTCCTGCTTTTTGCCAGTAGTCTGTGAGCCTTGAAAGAATAGAATACATTGTCAAGAACAGGCTAATAGAAAAGAAGATCTGACAAGGTGCTTCCTCCTATGAGAATATCTGAAGGATAGATGGGTGTCATGTTTGATTAAGGGGATTGATGTTATTGTGCAGGTTAGATCCGCACCCACTACCTCCTCTTTTTTGGGTGAGAGACCTACTTGGACCTCCCTAGGGAAGATGCTCTGGGCCTGTTTATAGTGACAGCCTTGCAGCCATTTCTCACAGCTTTGCAGCTGATTAGAGTTTGCATTTAAATTAATAAGTGTGACCTTGTGGAAATGCCCTAGGTATTCTGGGTCCTAAGAAAGAATTAAACCTTGCCTGCATACAGGGAATAACCACCTCTGGAAGAATACAGGATGCCAGGATACTGCACCCAGTTTCCCTGGAGGGGAACTCCATACTGCTAGCACCACTAGCATTTCAATGAGGTTTCAAGCCATTTGAAGTTCCCTGCTCCCAGAAGGGATGGGACAAGGCTACAGCTTTGAAAAAAATATAAATACCTGTACCCCTAAAGCCGCTTGTACATTCATTTTCATTTTCATATGCATGTACTTTTGTGCACGGCTGTCAGTCATTTCCATATTTGAATGTACACTCTCTTAGACAGGCTTGCATGCAAATTCTTAGATGCCCTGATACCAAGTTGTACCTGCTTCTTAGCTTCACACCTGCCCGCTCACACCACATTGTCTCTGTTGCACATGTGTACATTCAGTCTTTGTCAGATACCTTGATGCACACATCTCCTCATTTGCAAGCTCCCAAAACACAATCCTCAGCCACTCACACTTGCACATTGCCTCTTACTGTGTCTGCAGCCTCTTGTATACTCATCTACATATGTTCATATGCTCTTACATCCACTTGCCTATGTAGCATTCCTGTCCCAAGGATTTGTGATCTGCAGCATTTATTTCCTATTCTTTTTGTCCTTGACCATGGCCCCCTGAAAAGGTGCCACTGAACCTGGCTCTGCCTCTGAAACCACTATCCCCAGACAGTGACAAAGCCTAATTCCAACCCTGGGAACATTTGGAAGAGTGGGGGGAGAGAGCGGAAGAGAGGAAATAGCACAGCTGTTGTGTGTAATTGGACTGGAAGTGGGCCTCAGGCTACAATAACTGTGCTCAGTTCCCAGCCGACTGTAGGGCTGGGCCCTATAAGGAGCCTCTTTGCTACTGTGATTATTCTTGATGAATCAAAGAAGAATGACTCTTCTCTGCACCGTGCTGCAGCTTTGCCCAGCTATGAAAAGTAGCAGCACCATATACATCAGAAGCTGGGAGCTCAGCTCACCTGTGCAGAACTGGCCTGTCCATCAGAAACCTAGACCTGAAAAGAATATTCCACCCTACAGTACACTATGTCCTCTCCTTCCAGACTGGAGGTCCCTCTCCCATCAGCATCCCAGCCGTATGTCCTGCTGAGAGTGACACACTTGTAGTAATGTCTGGGGTGCATGCATTTTTGGAGATGCCCCAAGATCCTAATGGGGTTGTGTCTTGCTCTTTGGGTCTGAAGAGTTACCACGTTTCAAGGTGTTTGGGTATGAGAACGTCTACATTGAAAGCTAGGGAACCTTTTCATCTTTTTGTCATTAGAGGGAAATGGTAATAAGGGGACCTAGGGTGAGAGGCTGAGGAAAAAAAGTTTGCTCCCTGTAAAAGTTCACCCGTATAGAGAACAGGGAAAGGAAGAGTGGGGGAGTGGATACCTCCTTCTCTGGGGTACACTTCTCCTACACAGCTGCAGCATTTTAGTAGGATCCCTGATTTAGTTGAACTCTCCATCTGACTCCATTATAAAAGAGGTACTTCAACATCCTGAAGCAGTGGAGCTTCCAAAAGTACAGTATCCATGTCTTATACTCACATCACAGTGGGCACCTTTATTGATTGAATGGGTCATAGAGAATGAATGGGT